TGATTAATCAAAAACAAGAAAAAGTTAACTAATTGTTCTTACTAAATTAAACAAACAATCAGACGTTAGAAGTTAGATTGAAAAATTGCTTTAAGTTTGTCAGTGTGTTTGTTTGTTTTTTGTTTTCTTTTTTCTTTAAAACGGCAGACACATGAAATTTCTTGCCAAAAAATATTTTCTTTCTGATTAGTTCAACGTAAATATTATTAACTAGTAGAGAAGATAATTTTACATTATTTTCTAACAAAGCATATAGATAATTATCAAGCACAGTATTCTAATCCTTTCGATATGGGAAGACGAAAGTGAAGGAAGCTCGGAATTTGGCTATTATAGTGTTGTTGTTGTTGTTTTGTTTTTTTTAATTCTCTATTTTGGTTTGTTTTCATTTCATGTTTTTATCAAGAAACGCAGTTAAAGTCAAAGCATTTTGCGTTGTTATTTTTTTATAATAATAATTTAAAAAATAATTGTGTATACGCGCGTTGTTACATCGGCATATAAAATCATACATATTTTTTTTTTTTTTTTTCACCTTTACTTATTTCTCTTGAAGTTTTCTTTCCAATGTTCAATGACGTAAAAACGTTTCCACGAAGTCTCTTTGAACATACACACACATACATACATACATACACATACACGCATACACACATACACACACACGAATTACTTATATGCAACAAACAAACGTGTTCATTCACCCTGGACTCTGTGATTGTCAAGAAAAAACATTGCTTTTTGGTTTTTTTACTCATCGTTACACGTACCATACTTTCATTCCATACGCTTATCGCGTTATTTTTTTTATTTATTTATTTATTTATTTATTTATTTCTCATATGACACTCTCTCTCTTCAGTTTATTTATTTATTTATTTATTAATTTTTTTCTTTTCTCATAAATTTCATTTATATATCTATATATATATATATATTCTATAATACTATTATATTATAAATATATCTTTTCCCTTACAGTGATAAATGAATATTCTTTTATTTCACTGTAAATTAAAATTACTAACGTAATACTTAACTATCCTCGAATTTTCCTAATCTTCTTCTAATCGAAGAAGACATTTATTTATTGTTAGTAGTCGGACATAGAGGCCACACACACACACACACACACACACGTACACACATACACTCATGAAAGAGAGTGCACTCGTGAAAGAAATTGTATTCTCAAAAAGTGTGTTCTTCGCGTTTTATTTTTTATTTTATTTTTTTTTTCAATTATTCGCTAGCCATAGTTTTACGTAAAAGCATTTTTTATCATCGTCATCGTTCATTATCATTAAAATTATTATTATTATTATTATTATTATTATTATTATTATTATTATTATTGTTGTTGTTGTTATTTGATTTTCTTCTTTTTTTCTTTTTTCCTTTTTTTTAGTATCGTGTTTAATAATAATTATTACTATAGTTTTTATCGCTATTATCATAACTAACTGATAACCATTAACTGTAATTATTATTATTA